GGGGTTGCTTTTTTTTTTTTTTTCTTTGGTTTTTTTTTTGGGGGGTAACCAAATGGGGGGTGGGTTGGATAATTTGGGGGGGGGTGGGGACCCCTCCCTCGGGGCAAGGGGGGGGGTTGGCCCCCCCTGGGTGTTAAAAGGGTAAGGTTTCCCGGGGGCAGTTACACGGGGTTTAAAATTTTTTTGGGAAGGGAAGGCCCCAAAAAAAAATTTAGTTCTTCGGGGGGTTTCCCCCGTCCGCAGGGAGGTAAGCCCAGGTTCCCAACCCCCTTTGGCGGGGGGCGGCCCCCCTTTCTGGGGCCTCCCAAAATCCCCCCGGGGGTTTCGCGTTGGGGGTTGGGGGGCCCGGTTCGGGGGGGACCCGGGGGGGTTCCTCCCCGGTTTTGTGGGGGGGGGGGGTAACCCGTCAAGTCAAAGGATCCCGGCACCCCCGTTTTGGGGTCCCCCCCCCCCCCCCCCCCCCTCGCTTTGGGTCATGCCTAAGCAAAACCTTGCCGAGGCAGCGAGGGGAAGAAGGGAGTGGTGGTACCTTGTGCAGAATACGGTATGTTTGGCCCACTGGTCACAATCATCCAAGCTCACCACTTCGAAGCAAAACCACCATGCACGCCAGATCTCGTCGATCAACATTCTTCATCTGTCGGCACGATTGACTATTTGTCAGGCGGCGGTCACCGGAGCGGTCCTGGCGAGAACCCCGAATGGCAAGCGGCCATGAGGGGCTTGGACACCTTGCGTCCCCTCCCCGACGGCAATGGATGGGGCCCCCCGGCTGCTCTCCCCGCGTCGGTGGCGGCCCTGAAACGCCGCCGCGAGTTATGGCTTGGCGGTGCAGGTAAACCTACGGCAACGATCTCTCCACGTCTCAAGGCGAAGGGGTGTGCGGCGTCCAGCCTGATTAGATTGCTTTGTCGTCGCTGCTGCGGATCACGAAGCGTAGACCGCTGATCGATGCGCACCTCCTATCGTCTGGGAAGGTATCAGATTGTGGGGTTTGAGATGGATATCGTTGGTTGTAGTTTCCGTCCCAGATACCTCCTGTCTCTTTTTCGGTTTGTGTTGGCAGGCAACTCCCGTAATTCATAGCTCTACACGTCGGTAAAAGGCAGCAGCCTCACGCTTTGCCTCCCTTTCGTTCTCTTCCTTGAAAAGGCGGGCCTCCGGCCGGGGATGCATCACTACCGCCGCCGCAGGGGCAATCCACCACCAGCGGCACCCAAGCCGCGCCTTTTTCGCACGTGGAGCCACATCTCGTAGTACGATGCGCCCGCCACTACGAGCGCGCGGCTGCTGTCGTGGTCTCCGCCGCAGTACGAACCGCCTCCCTCTTCGTGGAACTCCCGCCCGCTAGGTGGGGGCTAGGTTCGGGGGCAAAGAAGGAAAGCCAGGCGATGCCTACCGCCGGAGGAGCTACCGGGGAAGATTCTGTCGACGTAAAATGTGGCGGAAGTGATGTGACCGACAGAGTTACCGGCGGCCCGGGTGATGATGCCGGCCCCACCTTGGATGACAAGGAGCAGCAGAGACAACTGCTGGAGGAACGGATCTCGAGGATGAACCCTCGAGACCAAGCCCTAGCCCGACACTCCCAGGTACACGCCAACCACCGCAACATCGCGGCAAAGAACGCCGAGATAACACAGCGGCGGGTTCAGGAGGAACGGGGGCGCTGGCAGCAGGCGCAAGAGGAGTCCCAACAGCAAGGGCTCCCCGTGGGGGCTTGTGTCACGAGTCGGGCTGCCGCAAGAATTGATCTGGCCGGCGGCTGGACCGACACGCCACCCATTTCATACGAAGCGGGGGGCGCGGTCTTGAACGCTGCGGTGACGGTGTCGGGAGAGAAGCCCATCGAGGCACGGTGCGAGCGGATCGAAGCGGCCAGCGTGGAGCTTGTCTGTGTGGGGCGCGAGGGAACCGTGACATCGAGGACGGTTTGCTCTAGCCTCGAAGACTTCTTGTGAGTGCTGTGGTCTAAAATGGTGTTGGACGGAGGAATAGGGTCATGTCGGATCGGTCCAGGGTTTCTTCTCTTTCACTTCCTCGTTGAGCCAACATTGACGCTGTTGCTCCAATTTTGAGGCAAACCCTGAAGCTTCTGGGCCGTGCTGCCTCTCCGCTTCTGCTTGGCTCGATATTTGGCTCCCCTTGGGACAGCACTGCGCCGGACAGCCTCGCTCCGACCGGCACATCCTCTGCACCCCCCATCTCTCACCCCCCGTTTGCTTTCGTCGTCTCCCTTTGCATTTTCACTCGTGGGTATCCCCAGAGATTTTTGCGTCCCACATGCTCCCGCGGCGCTCCTGAAGGCGGCCCTCATATGCGCCGGGATAGTGCCTCTTCCTACCGCCGCCTCCTCAGTTGGAAACCGCACGGCGGCGAACGCCGATACCAAAGACCTGCATGCTTCCGCCGTGGCGACAGCGGGCGTTCCTGCTTGCAAGAAAGGATCGTCGTCGTCGTCGCTTGAGAAGCAGCTGGCCAGAGTGTTCGGGTGCGGGGGCATCCGAATCACGAGTCGGTCGGGACTTCCTCAGGGATCGGGCATGGGAACAAGCAGCATTCTTGCCGGTGAACTTTGCAAATCCGCCCGCTTTGGGCCTAGCGGTAGACACGTCTTCGGACAGCTCTTTCCATGGTAGTTGCTGTTTTAGGGAAATTGTATGATTGCCGCTTCTTTGCTAAAATGGACTATCCCATGCGGTGCTCTCAGAGAACGGTTTCCGCGCTTGGACGTTGGGCGGTACCTCTGGACGTTTGCCTTAGTATTTCTGTACGCATCTCGACCTGGTGTGTGCCATACAGCAGCCTTTAGAGCCTTGTCACATGCCACGAGGGAGCTACTCCCGTGTCTAGCGCGGGTCGCACCGGGTAGTATTTCACGGCGACAGCCGCGGGCTAGTTTTGATGCGGTCAATAGTCCGTTCTCGCTCATCCAGTGGCTATGATTCACCCACACGCCATTTTCCTGTTTGTCGTTCGCGAGCACTCTTGTCACCGTACTCGTTACATACCTTGACAACGGGCCCCACCGACCATTGGTTGGATATTCGGCCGTGACCGGTACCTAATCATCCTGCAGGTGTGGTACTTAGCGCAGTTTGCGTGGCGGCAGGTAGGGCTATGTCCCCCACAAGCCTGGTGCACGCCGTTCTGAGGGTGGAGCAACTCATGACAGCCGGTGCGTCTGGGCGAATCGAACCGTTCGGTTCATTCGCTGCCCTTGAAATTGGGTGCTCTGTTGTGGTACTCTTACGTAGCTGGTGGGGCGGGCGAAGTTAACTTCAGGACACTCCGCGCCATGAACCTCGTTGTTGATAGTTTACGATATTTTCTTCTGGTCCCCTTTTTCAGAAGCCAGTCGTGGCACGATTCGGCATATCTTTCGTCGCGCTGCAATTTTTCCCGGGTCGGGGAACACGTTGCTCGGGAAGCGACCAGGAATGCTGGTTGTTTTGTTTCCAATGCAGTGTTTTCACGTTGGATGCTCGTACAACGCATGCATGCCTCGGTACTCCACTTATCCTCCACAAATTGTGGCTGCTACCTACGGAGCCCTGCAGTTCCAAATGACGATGAGAAAAACATTTGTGGCACGCAGTTCTAAAAAACGTTTGTTGTTGCTTCCGCATGTCGTATTCTACTCTGTCGACGCTGTTGTTTCCAAGTGCCTTTGGGGCAAGAAACTGCTGAACCCTTGCGGTGGTGTGGTAGAGAATTCAGACACGTGGGGGGCTCCTGCGTGACCACGGATCGAATCTCTGCAGCCGGGGTGCGTACGTTAGGTAAGGGTGTAAACTGTGCGAGATGCCTACCTGTGGGTACGTGTTTGTGACCACTCTGCTCTTGTTGCGAAAATGAAGGCGGCGGACACCAGGACCAAGTAGGCGGGCTGCTCGGCGGCGTCAAGATCTGCCGGACGTCGGCAAGCTTGCCTCTGCAGGTATGTTTTGTATCTTTTCAGAGGCTCTCCTTTGCTCCCTGGAATGTATGACATGTTCGCCTATGCTCCTATTTGGCCAACCACTGCTCGTGTATTCATGTAACGAACGTTTCTCCGTGGAGATGCCAGACGAAATGACTGTTGGCAGTCTGGAGGGTCAGTGCTGGCTTGTGCCATAGCGAAAGAAACGGTTGGATGTTGAACATTGTAAATCTCATGACAATTGAGACAAGGGTTTGTCTGCTCCATTGAGACTCTGTCGAGTGCCTCGCCTTCGACGGCCTACTGTAGACAGTGTATTCAAACGGGGTGGCTCGCGAGTATTGACGTTTCCTTCGAACTGCTCCTTTAGCGATTGCAGCTCGACGATGTGGACCGCAACCGAAAACAACACCAAATTTCGACGCCAACTCAAATGTACCAGTTGTGTGGCGGCGCGTGCTCTCGTATTTGTGAAGTAATAACCTCTTTCGAAACATTGTCCGAGTGCCCTGATGCGTTTCTCACACCCATGTTATAGTATGCGGTTCCAACGAGTGCTGGGGTACATGAGAAGTTCAACGAAATACTATGCAGCGTGGTTCTACGAGTTCTGCTGTGCATCGACAGTTCAACGACAACCAGGGCCGTCCCACGAGTAGTGCTGCAGGTCGGAATTTGAACAAATTCACAACAAGTGAACCAGTGAGGTCAAGCTGTGTTGTGAACTTCCATCCTGTCAGGTCCGGACAGAGACTGTTCCGCTCGACCCGACTTTCGAGACTGCTCTGAACGACCGGCTGGTTCTCGTCTTCACCGGCAAGCAACGATTGGCTAGGTCAGAGATAGGTTGGGGTTGTTGCCGTATCCATACGGTTATGGGGTATAACCGAAGGGCGGGTAGAAGTTTCTGTGTCGCAGTTGCTGCCTGGGTGCTGAGACGTGGCACAAGGGGACAAGTTTTTTTTTCATTATGTTGTCACTTGCCAGCGTTTAGTCTTGTCATGCAGAGAGAAAAAAGTTTGCGGCCTCTTGTTCTGCACGGTGGCATATTCTTTTCATGTACAATCCTTTCGTCGGGTCCTAGAATATATTTCTTGACGGCTACATTTTCGCGCGTGGTTGCAGGGATTTGCTCCAGGGAGTGGTGAGGGGATGGCACGACCGCCTTCCAGGCACCGTGAACACCGTGAAGGTGCGACTTTCTCTGCCTGAACACGGCTCAGCCACTGGTTGTCCCGTCCTTGCTCTTGTTCACATTGCAGAAAGCGCTTGCGGTGATAGCGTAGGCATGAGTGTCCCCTTGTTCCCGTCGCTGCCCGTCGCTGGCATCTTTTGCGTGGGAGCCTAGCTGAGCTGTCCTCAGCCTCAAGGAAAATCAATGAGGCTTGACTTGCAATATCCTGACCAAAATCGCTCTAGAGCGCTTATGTAGCGGCCCATTGCGCACAAATTAAAGTGTGAAGGAGACTCAGCATACTGATTTCCATCTCCAGGCGACAAATTCGAGCGGCATCCCCACACGAAGGGTTTGGAGACCTTTCTTGATGAAACCGTGCCCGTTCTGTTCTTATTTCCCCACCTTCAGGGTCTAGTGTCCAATGCAGAGGACGCCGCAAACGCTTGCCGCGGTGCGGGAGACGTGGAAGCCCTGGGGCGATGCCTCTCGACCTACTGGGAACAGAAAAAGCGCATGGCGCCAGGTGGGTTACTCTTGTTGTTTTGAGATTATTGTGTGCGAAGACGGCGCTTTTTTTTGGTGCGATTGTTGGCACCCCCGAAGCATCGTGCTCGCGACGCTTTGGACTGGGGCACTTATGCCGGACAAAGGGGTGTGGCTCGCACAAAACTGAAATGAAAGCATGATGCAGAAGGCGTTCCCGGGTCGGGTCGGTCTTCCAATAAAGTGCTTGCAATTGCGTTGCTGGTGAAACACGAAATCCCCGTGAGACGAAGCGGATGCCCATCCACTAGTGAAGTGACCTTGAAGTTTTTCTGCGGTTGTTGTGAATCACACTCGGGATTCCACGGCGGCAGGCCATGGTTGGTAGCCCCCCATATTGTTTTGTGCTTGGTGTTCCCGTGTTGGTTAACAATTGCAATCATCTTCGGATGAGAACAACCACAAGTGAGGGGAGGCATGCTCAACATCGCAATCGCGTCCTACAACTGCCACGAGTACTATGGAGGCACGAAACATTGACCAAGATATCATCCTGACGCAAATTCCGTCCGTGTACACGAGTGCACGCGAACTACAGGATGGGCCACGACCGTGATGTTCCTGATCCTTATGTCTCGCTTCTCATCTACCCATCACGTTTTGACGTGCGCGCCGTCTACAGCAGCACGGCCGGAAGATTGCCTTTGCAATACGTGCCACTCTCACTGTCTCTTGCGCGGACGTATGTTTCTCTTAGGAGCTGAACCGCCTGCAGTCAAGGCCCTTCTAGAAAGGATGAGGCCTTTTTGTCACGGGTTGTCCGGCTGCGGAGCCGGAGGCGGTGGGTTTGTAGCGGGCATCACCAAGAATCCCGGAGACCAGGCAAGCCGGACTTGGCTCCCCGTTGTTTGCTTAGCTTGGTATGTGTTGGTCGGTTCGCCGAGATGGGCGCAAGCATACGTCGGTGTTGATGTGTGGCATGAATATTGCCACAATCTCAACGACTTTCAGAAACGATAACCGGTAGTCAGGAAATGTCGCCTGTTGTTCAAGGTCTGGTGCCCTTCCCTGCTTGGAGATGTACTCTTTTACAAAGAAGTATCTCACCCCCACCCCTCGAAGTCGTCTACCCTTCCGCCACAGGGACAGAGTCAGTCTTAGTTTGATACCCCCGAAATACACTACATTGCTTTGACTATGATATCAGCACAGGGGTACCGTTGCACGTCAACTAGTGAGTAAACAGCTTCAGAGAGGCGCCACCAATGGCATTGCCTCCCGTCCTGAAAAGGGATGGATTGAGCATGATGCCTCTACCACCTTGGCATAGACAGAACTGATTGCTGGCTCACTCATAACACGGACCACTCGAACCAGGGCTTAATGGAGGTGAAGGAAGCTCTGACTCCGACTGCTTTGGAGTCCTCAGAGGTAAGACCAATATTTCGGCTCCCTTGGTGCCGAAAGAACGTATCGATTGCCGTTTAGGCACGCTGGTGGGAGCTCCGATCCGATTCGTGGACGTCAACGATAGTAGTGTGCAGTACCGGCAATTTCGGTGTAAATAGCCCGCGTAACCTATTTCTGTGCCAACCATATCTAGAGGGATCTACGCCGCGCGAACGTCCGTTCACATTCGCGGGGGAAATTGGGATCGGGTATCTGGTACAATTTGGTTGAACCTCGGCCACAGCGCCTTGTCATAGATAGGATGTACGTTGTGGATGGTTTGGAGAATTATAATGGAGTGAAGAGAGACGGCTCTCAGAGCATTTTGCTCTGACACCAGCCCGTAAGTATGAGCGAGAATGTACTCGCAGTTTACGAAAACGATGTGCTGTCAACACGTACTTGAGAACCCCGCCTGACGTCCTTGTTTTGTTTGATTCTGGTGACTTGTTCTGCCTCGTCCGTTTCCGAGAAAGGTGTCGACTATCAGCGTGCATCGAGGCCGGCTAGACCCGGTGGGCATGGAGGTCACCATAGAGCTTCCACATCCTTGATGCTTGCTTACCTCAAGAGACTTGGTGGCGACCAGGTTTCAGCAACACGGGCTGGAAGGAGTGAAGAATTGCATTTGAGGCGCCAATAGGGGTGACGGAATCCCTCCTAGCAGAATCGTCTCTAGCGTCTGGCATCCTGTTCGCCGCGGCGACTGGAACCGCTGCGGGCAACGCTTCAAGTTCGTAGTGGGTTTTGAATGCTGTCGAGCCGAGTTTTTGTTTACGTTGATGTAAATGGATGGATAGCCACCGAACGCTAAGCAAAAACATCCATCGCAAAGGCACAACACCACTTACCGTTTAAATCCAGAGCTGACAGGCCCCAGGTTTCGCCACATCTACGGGGTTTTGTCCTGAGATTGGTCCACGATTACCGATGCTTTGGCTTACCGGCCGGTCCTTGTTGTACTTGCGAATTCTGGCGCACTCACAGCAAGTCGAAAGGTGCATGAGAAAGTTTGGCGCCGCCGTCGTTTGCGCTGGAATTCTGCGTTCGAGCTTCAGCACTAGCCCGAACAGAGGAACGGATATTGTATCTGGTGCTGCTGAAACTCCGCGCACAATATCGACATTCGATGGAAGCAAGGGAGATTATGACCCTTTCGTCAAAATCCTCATGGAAGAGCGGCACAAATGAAACTAGCGATTCCCAGTTCGGTGCATCATGTTTTTACGAAGAAATCATAGGAGAGAACGCCGAAAAATGATCGAAAAACGTTTGAAGGCAGACCCACTAGATCAAATAACGGCATTCCCACTGAAAGAGAAGGATGCTACACTAGCACATACTCTCCTATATTGTGTATTTTCAATCTTGTCAGCACGCATGCAGCTATTTAACGATTGCGGGTCCTCTTGCCCACCAACTAATGTCCCGGGCGAAACATTTGAACGGATGTCAACCATCAGCTCCAACATGTAGCACGTGGGTAGCGCGCAAGTAACGCGTGGAGGACCAATCACGACTGATTTCCTCAACATCTTCTGAGATACTCATCATTCGCTGAGATGCCCATCCCCTCCTTTTGCGCACGGGTTCAGAGGGTTAAAATCAACGTGCGATGCCGCTGGGGCATCTTGAGGATCAAGGTCCCCCCTCTATACGTTTAAATTAACCCTGGGGAGAAAAAATCGCCAAAACAAGCCCATCCCCAGCGAGGAGCACAGCATTTTCTGCGGCACCGTATGCAGTATTCCTTTCCGCTGTTGCGGTTGTGTGCTGGTCACTCTTGCGGGTGTCATTTTGCTTGCACCGTGTAACAAAATATTTCAAATTACCAACGAAATCGCAGAAACGACCGAGGAAACATCGAAACACGCTGGTGGGGGGTTCATCTCGTTGTACATAATTCGTAACACTTTCCTACCAGACCCCTCGCCCCCTAGCACTGAAAAGAAGATGGGATGATCATCTTCCGCATACATGGAGGTCCACCCCTTGGTAACTCAGACGACATAACGAACACCACCACAGTCCCAAAAGAAAACCAAACCCGCCTACGACCTAGAGAGAGAAAGCTGATTTGACTCCATCTGCACCTAAACAATGATAGATGTTCGACGGTGTGCAACCTGCCTAATTTACGCTATACAACGGGACCCGTGCTTGGAAAATCGACATAGCCTTGCGCGTAAGCCTAGTTACTCTACGGAAACCTTTCCAGGGGCGGCTGCGGCTTAATCTAAACGAGGATGTGCCAACCCTACCGCATTGATACAACGAAAACCATGCGTTTCAAGCGCCAAGTTTGCTGATCTTCCCATCATAACCAGACAACAGACACGCACGGGTGCGGTGTAGGAATGGTCCATAAAGGGAACGACGAATAAATCGATATTTGATCGAAGCAGATCTACCGACCCGGTCCCTCAAACAATTCACGAAAAATAACAGAACCTCTCATTCAATTGCTCCGTCAAGGCGCAGCCCGAACCGTGTTCCCTGTCCACCCCCTCCCCTTCTCACCCCCCATTTCCGCGTACCACAGCAATGACGAGGATGCACGTCTGACCCAAAGCCTGATCAAAGCATTCCCCTCTCGCAGGCGTCCTCGGTGACCCTTCAAACACCTGGGCTGGCATACACGACGCTATGGTGCCAAAGGCCAGAGGATCGGCCGAACCCAGCCGGCGACTGCTGGGGAGGAAGGAGCACGAGCGTGTGCAAGCAAGGTTGAGACTATTAGCTATAATGTTGAACCTCTGCGATGAGCTGAAAGGCGACCATGCGACAACGTGATCTACAGGGGCAACCAACGCACCTAGACAACAAAAGCGGGCCAGCTTGACGGAACGCCTGTCTGTCCGATCGATTTGGCGCCGATCTGCCTTTTGGTGTATACATGCTTGATGTGCCAGCCTGGGTCACACAGGATCTTTTTATATTTTGCAATAATGTATAGCGTACTCCCACCTTTCCTCCTGCGATGCTTGACATTGTTGTAGTTCCAGAGCATTTCAGCCATCCTACACCCTCGTCGACCGTCAACGCGAAAAGTGTCCTTTTCACAGAGTATCCAACACCAACACCAAAAATTGAACGCGTCTGGAAAAAATAAAAAATAGCACCCTCGCAACGCACGAGGCGCGGCCTCTCCCTCCCGCCGCGTAACACGCGGAGCTCAGCGAAGGAGGATGCTGCCGCTGATGGTGCCACATACCCTGCCTCTGCCACGGCTAATGCTGCTGCAGCCGCGTTCAATTTTTAAAAATTCCAAAAACCGAAAAACCAAAACGCCAAAATACAGCCACCATGGGGGGGTGGTCATTTTTGAATGCTCGTTTCGCGCCCCGGGTGTGCGGGGCGCACTCCACTTTGAGCATCATGGCACCCACAACAAGAGGAGCGCATAAAGCAGGGGGGGAGACCGCGG